GGACAAATAAAAAAGAAAGTCGGCAAATTAAAGTCCAGTGAGACTCGGGGAGTATATAATATGTATTTGGAGTATACCTTATACAAAGAATATATACTACTTTGTATATATAAAAAAAGAAAAAAAATACTACGGAGTGCTTTAATTTTTATATAGTTTGTAACTTTGTATGTGGTAATTATAATTATTTGGACTCTATTTACTAATTGCGACTTAAACTAATTTCTTATTTTGCTTTCGAACCATTCTTACAACATTTTTATCATGTGATTTTTAGATTCAAGATATAGTGTTTTGATTTCAATATATATTTTTTGATTGAGAAATTTAGATAAGTGCAATTTCTAGCTAAGAGTGTACTTGAATTAGATTTTAGGCGGGCCAAATAGTGTTTTTGGTTGAGTGTACTTGATAAAGGGTCAAATAGGTGCATGAACTAACTTAAAGTGTTCAATTAGCCCCTTATATAGGAGGTTCTGCCCGGCCGTCGCCAATTGGGGCGGTTCCCGGTGGAATTTTTTGATGAAATTTTTTGAGCATCTTCTTCATTAAGTCTAGTTTACTCATACCAAATTTCAGCTAAAAATTCAACCGGGAAGGCAGTCAAATGATGTTTTGAAGATAACTGCGCAGTTAAACAGCGCAGTACATTTCGGAAAATCATTTGACTGCCTTACCGATTGAATTTTTAGCTGAAATTTGGTATGGGTAAACTAGACTTAATGAAGAAGATGCTCGAAAAATTTCATCAAAAAATTCCACAGGGAACTGCCCCAATTGGCGACGGCCGGGCAGAACCTCCTATATAAGGGGCTAATTGAACACTTTAAGTTAGTTCATGTACCTATTTGACCCTTTAGCCTAGATTTTATTATACTCCTAGTATGCATCCATGCATCTAACATTCTAATTGAAAAAGTGTTGAGGGTTCTCTCTTCTTTCTAGAGAGAAACCTCAGTGGTCGTCTCCCCTCTTTGTAGGGGTAGAGATTTTTCGTCGCCCCTATCAATACGGGGTTGGAGCGGCAGATTATACTGATTTTTAATATTCTAATGCTTGTGATTGCAACTACATCAGAGGAGGAGACAACTTTGGCGGATGAACGAGGTGCGACAGAGAGGTTGTATCGACACGGGATCGTGAAGCCTTGGTCGTCCATTTCGACAATGGTGGAGTTGGTATTCACGGATTCACCCATATTGTAAGAGCTCGTCCTCCTCTGGAACCACATCCATATGAAAAAGAGATTAGTGGAAAGATTTCATTTCAGTATTATTTTCTCTTTAGTATCACTTATTTCTGTTTTAGTCCCGGTAGATTTGTGATTTGTACTATTTAGTAGTGCATAAACACCACATTTTAGAATGGTTTTACATTATGTTTACTTAGCTTTTGTACAATTACAGTGTAATCTTTATCTTCTAAAATTAAAGTAGAATTAGAAGATATTAAGATATTTTGATATGTAAGCAAAAACATGATGAAAAGAAGAGGAAGGAGCTTGGGAGCATAAGGAAGGAGCATTGGAGACAAGAGGAAGCTTCATGGAGAACAAAGAAATGTGAAAAATCGGATATGATTTGACCCAGAGATCATAAGAGATCAAATAAAGCAAGTGAACATGGGAAAATCAGATTATGTCTTAGACCCAACCACCTCACTTCTCCTATAAAAACACCCCTTTCCTTCCTATTTTAGATATCAATTAATCCCCTCTTTCATATACACTTTTATTCTTGTAATTTAGGTAGTCTTTTGATCTTGGTTTAATTTTGCTACTTTGAAGCTTAATGAATTGTACGTTGTGAGTTATTTCTTTAATCTTCTTCCTTGAATATAAATTAATTCCTATGCCTATTTCATATTAATATTTTGAGCATTACTTAAAGGATCAACTAGTTTTGTTTCATATATTAATTATTACTAGAATCGATCGATTAATACGTTTGTTATTAATTCGGTCCTTTCACGGTAGTAAACTTGGGTTGTTAATGCATGTGTCTCGTGGTTAATAACCGAAGGGGAATTAATTATATTGATTAAACCGATAAACCGCTTGTGTTGAGGTTATCAATCTCAATCATTTTCATCTTGATTTTATGCTACTATCGGGTTAATATACGGCGCGTGTTCTATATTGATTCGGTAGTACGTTTTATTAATGAACACGTTTCTTTATTAATAACTACCCTCGATGAACTGGATATACTCCTCGATTGAGTATTCGAGAGGAAGATAGTTAAAGATTTAACCGGGATCGACGAACATTTCATTAAGTGGATAAAAGCAAAACCAAGACTAATTACCTTTGATATTTTATTTCACTCATTTAAGTATTTTATTTGCTTTCTCAATTATCAAAATATCCAATTCCCCCTTCCGTTTACTTTTATTTATTACACTTACACATACGCGAAAAGCTCATTTCCCTGTGGATACGAACTCTATTACGCTATACTACAGTATTAGCCCTTAGTCGTGAATTTAATTTGAGGCACACTATGACAAAGTGCTCGTCAATTTGGTTTGAATGTTTGGATTTTTGGAGTTCTTTTGATAGTCAGGGTTTAAGTTCCGGTCGTTTTAGGCCTAAATTTGCCCGTTTCAGATTTAGTGAGTCATGTTGCTTTGTATGATGTGGCTGACTCTAAGTCTACTCTTATGGTTCATGATTAAATCTCTAAATTCTATCTGAAGGCCGGTTGTCTTGTGTGTGTTCTCGATTTTAATATAATGGACGCTCTTTTATGATTAAAAAAAGTGTATTTGAATTGTCATTAGATATCGATTTCATCATTTTGCAGTGATAAGTGTTTTACAACACCTCAAGAATAACTAGTGCAAAAACGCCGATCAGAGGCGCTTCAAATTGCCTGTGTGCGGCGCTTTGAAGTGCCTCTGGAAAATGTGCCGCAAATCCCAAATGGAGGAGCTTTTTAGTCCGAAAGCGCCTCTAATGTTATTTTTTTCAAATTTAATTTATTTTGATTTTTTGCGGCGCTTCTGTCTGGAAAAGCGCCGCACGCATGAAAAATTTTCTATATTTTGCGGCGCTTTCTATATAATAAGCGCCTCTAATGTTTTTTGACTGACCAATTTTTAAATGTTGTGCGGCACTTTTGATTAAAGAAGCGCCTCCAACGTCTACTACGAGAATTATTTTGGAGGCGCTTGTGTAATAAAAAGCGCCTCTAATATTTTTTTTTAGTAATTAATTACTTTTAAAATATCATACCACCTGTTTAATTTGCTTATCAATAACAAACAAAACCACACATTCATTCATAAATCCTAGATAACATGATAACGATAGAATCGTTTCACGTACACAAAATAAACTAGAAAAGTAGTACAAATTTATATCATAATAGAAATAAATTACATTCAAGTTTGCTTCAAGTTTGCACACTCGTTTCTGATATCATTAAACTCCTCTGTCGTATATGGTTCACTTCTTGAATTCCAAACCTGAAAAATATTCATACAAATAATAATATAAATAAATAATGAGAAACTAAATCATATACTACGTAAAAGTTCAATAATTTAATGAAATCCACCTATTAAAGTGTATATAATTACCCTCCTATGGACGACCATCCAAGACCAATAAGAGTAACAAGTGAAGACGTAAATACGTCTCCATGGACCAAGGGTAGTTGTACCTCAAGGCCTAAGGCACACGCGACGTACGTCTTCGCACCCTGCGTACGGCCCAAAGAAGATCTAGCCTAAGGCTAGCCAACATACTCCTACAGAAGGGCCAGAAGACGCATGGCCTACAACTAACCCTTTGCGATACCACCAATGAAGGCTCCGGGATTCGAGGGGACGTCCGTCTCCATGAATGCGCGGGAATTTGAAATTCTGGCGGGGAGCGCATTCAATACTGGAGATTTGGTGGTTGTGGCCTCAGTCATACACACCCCTCCACGTCAGTATATTCAGCTTCCCTTTGGTAGTATAAATAGCTCTTCATCATTGTTCGCAGCTCTTCTACTTGAGTGGTGATACGAACGGCCGTTACGTTAACCATTAGCATATATAGTGCAGTGTAACGAGGCTTTATTACCACTTAATAATACTCGGCCCACTATTGCATACATCTTTTAGCCCATCTTGCTTGCTATATTCATATACTCGCATACACCATCCATTCAAAATCCATAGACTTACGTGTTGGGCCTACGGGTTGAAGGAATAAACCTCAACAGTGTCCAATATCTGCACTTCCAATATAAGTTATTACTTCCCACATAAACTTCTATCACATAATACCCGCATTCTGTATTGCCCATTTGTCTTGCATAGTGTATATTATATGAAAAATATACAATATTATTTCATAATATGATTCTTTTTAAATTAAAGAATGTAACATTATCAATTTATCACACAATAATTATTTGGGCATTAGATCAATGTTTAATGCAATGTTGCCCTCACGGCTCATGGAGTCACATGCAGTAATTTTTTAGGGTGTTTTTTTCCGGATCAGAATACCTAATCATTGTTTAATTAATTGTCAAGCTTCTAGAAAAATTAAAAACATAATTAAATTATGGATGTAGCGGGTCAAAGTCCTTAACTTGACAACCTTAAAATCTAAACTAGGGCAAGTAAAATCCCGAGTATAGAGTAAAAGAAGCCGTGTAACACCGTGGACGGCATTCTTATTCCTACTTCTATTAATTAATTAATTAAAAAAGAGAATTTATCCTAAATAGGACTAAAAACGTTTGTAAATTCCGAAATGGGACTGCCATGTTTTTAATTTCCAAAATGGGACTAATTACTGTCATGTTTTGGCAGTACCAGACTTTAAACATGACAGTATTTTCCAAACTTGACAGTAATTACTCCTATTTTGGGAATAAAAGTGCTACTAATTCTTTTCTTCGACCAATATAATCGATTAGATAAATATAATGTGAGCTAGCCTCGGAGAATAATGACCATATATATAGCAATTAAAATGAATGAATAAAACCAAATAATCATATTTCTATATAATTATCCCAGCTCGCAGCTAGTTAGCTGCTCAAATTTAATTGGCGGAGCGCCGCCGATCGGGTTGAATTCCGACACGTATATATATATCCGGTCAGAGTCAGAATGATTGAACTGTTCTGTGGTCTGGTGTGTTTGGAAGCGGCGGTGATAATTGCGCTTCTCTTCAAAACGCCGTTGAGGCCACCGCTTGTGACGGCGTTGGGGTTGCTAAAGCGAGGGAGGGGCCCACTGATAGCTAAGACCGTGTTCGGCACCTTATTTATGATGCTACTCGGCATTTTCTACGACATTTCCACGCTTAAGACCACTAATCACATTCTTCGCGCTTATTATCTTCTCGAAGCCTCATTCTTAGGTACGAAAGTTTGAGCACACAAATGGAAATAATAATGTGTTATGTACTTATTATGTGTCTCATGAATCATTATGAATCAGAAGTTACAATTGTTGAAAAATCGGCATCATTTAAAATTTAAATGAATAAATTTTAGGTAGATTCTATGGTATTCATAAGGTATCATACATTTGTCCACATGGACCAATGAGAATATAGCAGTTGAATTATTTAAATCTAAATTAAAAATGATAAAGTGGTGTGGTCCAATCAAATGAATGGTAAGTAAGGTACCCTATTTTTAGAAGGGTACCGGAGTTGTCAACTCCGGTACCCTTCTAAAAAATAGGGTAATATCAGAGGCGGATCCAGGAATATGAGATGCCCTGGGCTGAATAGAAATTATACTAAGCTTAAATATTAGAGGGGTGTGCTAAATATGAAAAATGAAAAAAAATTACACTAAAAAATTCGAAAAAATTCTAAGTTGCCCTGCGCTTCAGCCTACCATAGCCCGTATATAGATCCTCCTCTGGGAGTTGTCACCTAAATTTTATAGGTAATCCTAATTTCAAAAACATGGCGTTTCCTTAATAAACAAACATGACTTTTTATTTATTAGAAATTACTCATACTCCGTATAATGTATTTGTTTTATGAAATATATGTCTAAAAACTTATAAGCACCAATGATGGCTAGGGGTATTTTAGAATCTAAATCTAAAAACTTATAAGCACCAATGATGGCTAGGGGTATTTTAGAATTGTTAAAAATGTTGGTGTAACATTAAAGCAAGATATACTTGTACAATTTATTTTATTCATTGTACCCTTCATCACTAAACCTATTTCTCTCCCCACTTCCGTTAAAGTCTAACGTTTAGTTTCCATCCAACATGTTGTACGTGGATTTGATGCTTTTGATTTCCATTCACGTTTTCATTCAATTTCTTATTTTAATTTTTTCCACGTCACCTTATGTCACGTAGAGCGTAAAAAAATGAGTTTTATGAAATATTTTATCTTCTCCCTTTGCAATGAAATTAAGCACCGATACTCAACAACATTTTCAAACAGATTATTATCCACTTATGGAGTGTTTTGGTCTAATTCTTAAAACTGCTTCTACTCCTTCAAGGAGCAAAAACAGAAATTTGAGTGTTTGAGCGAAAGTGCAGAAGCACTTCTGGTGCTCTAATTTACTACTAGAATCAGTTTTCTAGAAGGTAGGGGAGACCATCTTATGAAAGCTAATTTTGATTCTTTTAAAAAAGAAGCAGATGCAGAATCAGTACCAAACACCCCCTATGTTAGAAGTTATTCTGTTTATCTCGTTCTTATTGCTTATTAGTTATTGTTTATCAGATCAAAACAATATATATCAAATCAGAAAAGTTCACACATGATTTATTACTTTTATTATTATTCGTATGATTAATACTTTTATAATAATAATAATAATAATTACTACTATAACTACTACTTAACAACTTGGCGCCATGCATGATTTATTACATTTATTATTATCATTATCACTATTATTAGAAATTAATGTACTTGCTTTATATAGGATCAAAAATAACCTAAAATACAAAAATAGGACTACTACTTTTTTATTCCCTCCAGGTAGGACTAAACATTTATTTCTACCCTAAATACCCCTATGAATGTTTGAATTCATAATAAAATCATAAAAATAATTAAAAAATCTTAAAAAATAATAAAAAATCGTAAAACATATAAAAAGTTAATAAAATATTTGTAAAATAAAAGTCTTAAAATTAAATTTTTTATTTTGTTAATAAAAACCTAATAAAATAGTAAAAAATCATTTAAAAAAAACAAAAACATATGGATACCTTTCCCACCACCTCCGTCGATCGGTGAAAATTCTGCTATTTTTTTGTAAAAACAATGTCAAGAAAATGACATTATGACTCTTCATAATACCAACATTCTCATTGAATCTGCCATTATTATGGCATTACTAAAAATGTTGGCAAATTTCAACTGGTGATGAAAGTTGGTGGTGCTGGGGTGGCAATGGTGGCGGCATTTTCTAAATTCTTTATTACCACCATTATGAAATTATATTCTTATAGGGTGTTTCAGAATGGTCCTTACCCCGACCCATTTACGGGCAAAGAGGCATCTCACGTGTCTCTTGCATCATCCTTGGGGGGGGGGGGGGGGGATTATGCATAAAGCTTGTATGCAATTTCAAACAAATTAAATATACTAATCATTAACATTCCATAATATTATCCGTATCAAAATAATTTTGGGCATTTCCCCCTCGCCCATCGCGCGTCGTGAAAAATTGTCATTTCATAAAACTTAGATCATGATATTTATTAGTAAAAATATTATGGAAGTTATAAATTTTCTACTTTTATAATAGTATTTTCAACAAAGAACAATTTCATAACACTTTTATTTTATAAATCGTTTCCAATAAAAACATATAGTTGGTCAAAATTTTCAAAATGACAAAGTTTATTGGAACGATTTAGTACTATAAGTAATCATACTAAGAGCCCGTTTGGTAGCACGAAATCGGCTGTTTTGGCTGATTCTGCTGAAATTTATGAAGTTCTGGCTGAAGTGGCTGCATTGGCTGATTCTGTCGATATATGAAAAAATTGTTTTTTTAAAAATATATTTTATTAATAAAATAAAGAAAAGATTATATGTAAAAATAGCTAAAATGGCCATCTACAGTAACTTCAACCAATACAACCAGAAAAGTAACTTCAACCTTACTTTGTATGCTTATTACTCAATCCAGCGCGTGAAAGCAAAACTTACGTGCTTGGTGAAAAAGTTGGTTGATATGCCAAAAAACAGGGTTGTCAAACGGGCTCTAAATTAACATACAATATACTATAGTACATATTTCTCAATAAAAACACATTGGGCATTTTATTCCATCGCGCAACGCGCGAATTGAAAACTAGTACACACAATATACGTGCACGGTGCACATCTATTCGTCCGCACACACAATTCTAATTCTACGAAGTACGAACAATCTTAATTTTTAAAATATACTCCGTACTACGTAAAAACATCACAATTAATAGTTTATATGTCCTCTAATTTAATTTGACATTTTCCGGGAAGTTTTCACCACTTTTTTCAAACAGATCTATTGCATTTAGTTGTTAATTCAGATGGATTCTAACACTTCAAAATTTAATTCCGGACAGTTTCCCATACAATAGCAAACAATAGCGTGAGTCTTAACTAACCGCGCCTCACGTGTTCTTTTCGCCCCGCCACCATCTGCTTGTATGCATTACCCGCCCCACCAAGGGTGTGTGGTAAGGAGGGGGTTGAATGGGTCCCGATTGACCCAAATTTGAAAATTGCTTGTCTTTAAAAATTTGCATGTAAAGAAGATAAATAAGACTATATGTTTTTTCTTCCATCTAGTAGGACAATTTAATGTGTATTTGGATAAATATGCCTTTGAGGCTTTTGAAAGATCTTAATTAATAATAAATTCATAAAAAATAATGAAAAACGTAAAAAAATAATAAAAACATCAAAAATGATAAAAAATCATAAATATTTTTAAGTTTTTTATTATTTTTTAAAAAAAATTAAAAATGCAAAAAAAACAAAAGCGCGGCCGCCTCTGCCACCCCCAGCACCACCACCTCCCATCACCGGTTGGAAATCTACCAAAATTTGTAGTAATGCCATAATAATGGTAGCATCAATGATAATTTTGGCATTTTCATAAAACAATGTCATTGTTTACAAATAATGGCAGAATCTGTACCAATCGGATTTATCCATTTTTATTAATTTTTTTATGGCTTTTTACTATTTTTTTTATTAATTCTTCAAAAAAAAATGCCAACAATTCTAGTAATGCCATAATAATGGCAGATTCAATGAGATTTTTGGCATTATAAAGAGTAATTATGCCATTTTCGGGAAAAAAGGAATTTTTATAAAAATTGGCATAATTTTTACCGATCAAATATGGTGGTTCTGGGAGGCGGTGGGAAAGGTTTCCATATTTTTTAATTTTTTTTATGATTTTTTACCATATGATTTTTTTAATAATTGTTTAAAAAAATTAAAAATAAAATTATTTTTTAATTTTTTTATTTGAACAATATTTTTTTATTTTTTTATTATTTGTGTACGAAATAATACGCTTATGGGCATTTGGGTATGCTGAATTTGTTTAGTCCGATTTTGGATGGTAAAAAATGTAGTGGTCATGAGAAATAGAGACCATGTTTCACAAAAAAATATAGGCCTTTCCTTTCTAATACAAGTACATATAGAACATGAATAAAAACGATAATAGCAATAAATTACTCAGCTCATATATCTACATGAGTGTTTATTTGGAAACATAATTACTACCAATTTTTAAAATCCTCCACTAATCTTGTAAATGTTTTCAAATTTAAATTAAAAGTTGATTTGATTTTTTAAATAAGGACTTCAAATTGACTACCTATTGAGTAATAAAATACTTATACCAATTTGTGAAATATAAATAGTTTAATCAATTCATCAAATAATTAAAGAAAATAAAAAAAAACAATCAAGAATATTATTAAACAATAAGCCAAACAAATAAGAAATTTAATAATATACTCCTTTTATCCCATTTTAGTTAGTCATCTCTGAGAATTAAAGTCGGAGATGTTATACTTTGACCGAACATGTATTTTTTCTGAAAGTATTTATAATATGAAAAAATATGCAAATGTTTTTTTTTGTTAAAAAATACCCTCACAACAGTATAAAATTTCTAATTTACGTCAAAAGATAAATGTTGAAATGATTGATCAGAATTTATAATCATCGTATAGAAAAATCAAAGATGGCTAAGGGAGTGTTGGGAATGGCTTAAAAAAACATAAAATGTGCTTTTTAGTGGAAAAAGTTAAAATGGGTACTTTCAAACACTAACTTCTACTAGGTTTAAGTAGAAAGCTAAAAGTAGATAGAGTGATACTATCAAATGATTTTCACTTTTTTATCACATCAAAAGCAATTTTTCTGTAACTTTTATTTTTAAAAATAGTTTTCTTTTCAAACACAACTAATTTTTACTATTAACTACATTTCATATACTTATAGTTTCTTTTGTTCCATTAGGCTTTGACACGAGTTTTAAGAGAAAGATAATAGAGGTAATGTAAAAGATGTACGTAGTTAGTTGTATTTAAATGAAATGTAGGAAAGAGAATGAGAGAATATATAGGTATATTTTTTTTAACTTTCTAAAAAGTGAAAAAAGGACAACCACTTAAGAACAACCCAAAATGGAATAAGAGACAAGTATTGAAAAACAGAAAGAGTATTTCCTTAACAAAATCACTTTTTTAAATTTAGAACCAACCACAAACAATTCCCAAGTAAAATGGGATGGAGGTACTTTCATTTAAAAAAGATATTCTACGAGTACTTCACTGCTAAATAGGCAATTAGCGTCTGAATTTTTTTATGGGTTTTAGTTTAAGGGCCCCTTAGTTTAAGCATGTGTGGCTTATCGGTGTTATATTTTATGGGCCTTCTTTAATTAGCGGCCTTGTATCGTTAAGTTGGGTTGCTCTTGGCTCCTACCATGGGCCGGCCTTGAATTAAATTTGTGCTCTTGGCTACACCGAGTATACGGTATATGATACTCCAAAATATATGGAAATGACTTGAATAGAAGTAAAAAAAATGTTTTGAAATTCCAAAATGAAAATTTCATAATTTTATTCTCTAAATAGAACTAATTTCTGTCAAATTTAAAAATAAATTGTCATGTTTAAAGATTGATAATGTCTAACTTCAAAGAAATAACTCCTATTTATTTAGAGAATAAAAACATGACAATGATATTTTGAAATTTGAACACGTTTTCACTGTTGTTCAGATAATATTCCCTAATATATACAGAGGGGGTGTTTGGATATGATTCTTAAAGAAGCAGAAGTTGGGTGAAAGTTCAGAAATGATTCTGATGCTCTAATTTTGCTTCTACTATAAAAAAGAAGCGGAAGAAGAATCAGTTCCAAACACTCCCAGAGTATAGTATTGAGAATAGAAATTACCCCAAATAGGAGTAAATCTAAGGTAAAAAAATCAAAAATACGATTTCTTATGTTTCTATTCTAAAATAGGACAACATTACACCTATTTTGAAACACATGTATTTTTTCATTCCATTCTTAGCCCTTCGTTAAAATATGATTAAAAGGTAGTTAAAATTCATAATTAAATATTTTAATTCATAATAAAATCGTACAAAATAAAAAATATCGTAGAAAAATAATACAAAATTATTGAAAATATTTATAAAATAAAAATTGTAAAAAAACTAAAAACTTAAAATTTTAAATTAATAAAAAATAGTAAAAATTCATAAAAAAATAATAATAAAAATATGGACGCCTTTCCCACCACCTGTACTGTCTACCTCCCCTCACCTCCAACCAATGTAAAAATATGATTTTTTCTGAAAATGTCAAAAAATGGCATATTACTTTTTGAGAATTTCGAAATTTTCATTGAATCTATCATAAATATTACATTCCTAATGCATGTGACATTTTTCGCGGTGACTAGAGGTGGTGGTGCTGGGGTGGCAGAGGCGGCGGATGATTTTTTTTTTAAATTTTTTATTTTTTTAAAATATAATTTTTTTATTTTTTTTAATTTTTTAATAAATATTTTGTATTAATTATTTATTATTTCTTTCGATATTTATTATTTTTTTGTAGAATTAAATCATTCAATAGCTATTTAGTCCTACTAGGGTCAGTTAAAAAATGATGTAGCGCTATTTATGATTATTGATTATGTTTTATTCCTATTTGGGTAATTAATCCAATTGACAATTACATTCTGCATGCAGGCTTTTCTCTATTCTTAGCGATGGTTGTAGAGAGGATCCACTATTATCTTCCGAGGATGGATACTGCAGAGGAAAAGTTGGACTATTTTTCCAAAAAAAACATAAATAGCTCTCTACCAAACTAGTAGCAACAGGCTACACGACTCAGCTAGTCCGGCCGAAGCACCACCACAGACGACACTGAATGACAAAACATCATATATCGATCATTAAATTAACACACACAAACCACTCATAATAAGTTTTATACTCCGTATATTGTATGTGTACTTAAAGTAGTTCAACCCTAATAATGAAGCTAGCTTTTCAATTATTTGTGTACGTACTTATATTGAATAAATGTGTACTTATGCAATTACCCTTTTATTTTTATATGTATGATAAATCAAGTGTTTGTTTCTACCACACTAATTATGTTCCACGAAGCGACACTTTTTATTTGTGTTGGAAATTTAGGTTAAAATTCAGTGATTGATGGATGTAGTTTTTACATTTTGGGTGTTCCAAACCAAAGTTGAAAGTATCACAATAATCATATCTAATGTTATAACTCAAGAGTTTATCTTTATCAATAAAAAAATACTGCATTTAAAAGTAAAACACACTTCAAAATATACTAATAAAGTTTAAGAAAATTACTACATCAACTGATTTACCCTGATGCTCATGTTTTTTTTTAAATAATCTAAAATTTATTTGTTGCTTATAGTCATAAACTCATCTCTAGCTCTAATTAATGGACCTCGGTTTTATTCTCCAATTCACTCTTGACATGATTCATTTTGGAGAATACACATTCCACACTTGTATTGCTATACTGGCGTGGAAAGATCAAATCAAGCTTATAAACGACACCATAAGTCTTGTGTCTTTTGGTTGCTACAAGTTTCCTTGAAAGGCCCGCAAGCCCTATTAATCATGAAGAACGAGGATGTAAATACGTATCCTCAATGTAGTTAGCAAAGTAATTGCACAAAGAAGATTCAGTCTCATCAATGAAATCACTTGGATAGAATGTTGTCATTCTGAACAAGTTCCCCTCATCAAAATCCACAATGTTAGAGGCAGGACTTAAGCATGCAACACACAATGTAATAAACTAATAACTAAGTATTTTTCACATCAAATCTAGAATTAATCTCCTTCAATTGAAAATCTAAAATGCCAATAACACAATTTGTCTTGTAATGATGCAAATTAATTCATAACAAAAGAAGTTTGACGGTGGGTTCTTTTGGATATGTGATAGGGACCATCCATATTAGGCACAAGAATAGCATGAGTTGTACAAACCGTAACAACTCTTCCCAAAAGAGCTTCCCATCATTCATCTCTCATCTTTTGGAGTCTCGTTTTGCATATCTTCACAAGAATCAATGCATTTAAGAGGTCCTAATCACTTCTTTGCATCAAATCATTTGTCACCTCTACACATCAACCATCATAAATAGCATCAAAATAAAATCAAAATAAAGTATCCCATCTAACAAAGTCCTATTGGAACCACAAACATCATAAGAATCATAACCAAGTGATGGTTTCATAGACATCAATCACAAGATCAAACAATGTCATCAAGCTAGTAAAAGTTCTATTGTGCGACCCCTGACATTCATGTAATTTCCATATTTATGTTTGTGTTTTTAATTAGTTTTGATTGATTGTTACTTTGGAAATTACACAATTTTAGTGTAATAGTTTAGGTTGTAAAATATTTGTAATTTGTTAAGATTAGATTTATTCTGAGCTCAAACAGGTCCATGATCACTCAAGGGACCATTGGTGAACCTCAAAAGGGAAGGAAGGTGCAAAATCACAAGACAAAAATGGAGATCCTGATTTATGACTTGTACGCGGTCGGGTATGACCTATACCCGATCGGGTATGACCTATACCCGATCGGGTATGACCTATACCCGATCGGGTATGACCTATACCCAATCGGGTACCTTGCTGAAATTTCAAATCGGATCAAATCCGGGAACAAAGCAACGTGTAGGAGGACTTTTGACCATGTTCAAGTGTCATACCCGATCGGGTAACCGACGTACCCAGTCGGGTATGTCCCACAATTCCAGCTTCCGGTAAGCCTCTGACCGTACCCGATCGGGTACCATATATGCCCAATCGGGTGCACATCCCTGCATGCTCCATTTTCCCTATAAATACACTCATTTCCTTCACACTAAAATCACGAATTCACATATACTTATAAGCTCAGTTTAGACAAGTATTTCCTTTATATGATCTAGTATGTTTAGTCTTCAAATGAGGAGCTAAACTCTTCCATCTTGGTTTTGGTACTTTGAAGCTTAATGAATTGTAAGTTGTGAGTAATTTTTTTTAATCTTTTTCCTTAAATATTAATTAATTTCTATTCTTATTTCATATTAATATTTTGAGCATTACTTAAAGGATCAACTAGTTTTGTTTCATATATTAATTATTACTAGAACCGATCGACGAATACGCTTGGTGATGATGAATAACTTTACGAATATTGGGAGCGCTTCAAGAAGCTTTGTGCTAGTTGCCCATACCATGGGTACACGGAGCAAGATCTCATCCTATACTTCTATGATGATCTTGCGGAACATGATAGACGCATGGTGAATGCGGCATGCGGAGGGGGTATTATATTGTGAACAAAAACCCCTCTCAAGCAAGGAATCTCATCTCGGAGTCGGCCGAGAACTCTAGGCATTACAACGGGCGGTACTCGACCTGTAAAGTTGCCGCGGCGCAATCATCTTCATCATTGGAAAGTCAAGTTGATGACTTGCCTTCTTTGGATAAGGATTTTCTCTTAAATCCTAGATTCCAAGAGGTCAAGGTTTGCGGCATTTGTACACAACAAGGGCATCCTACTGACTCATGCCCAACACTTCAAGAAGACGACCCCGAGTAAGTCAACGCTTTGGGGTTCCAAAACAAAAAAAAAAGGTATGATTCTTATGGCAATAATTATCATCATGATTTTAAAGACCACCCAAATCTTAGATATGGTAATTCTCAAGGAAACCAACAACAAAACAACCCTCCACAAAATCAATTGTTTCCTCAAAACAAACAACCATACCACAAACCACAAGCCCAAAATATGTCCACCGAATAATACATGATCCGAGCCCTCACCTCAAATGTCTCAACCATGCAACAAAATATGGTTCAATTTCAACATGAGACAAAATCTAGCATTCAAAACCTTGAGAACCAAATGAGCCAAATCTCAAGTGCGGTGAGTAGGCTCGAGTCCAAGGATTCGGGAAAACTCCCTTCACAAACGGTGTCGAATCTTAGGCAACAAGCCCATGCGGTTACATTGAGGAGTGGCAAAGAGTTGGTTATTGCGAAGAGGAAGAAAAAGCTAGAAGCCACATTGCCAAACAAAAAGTACAAGTTAGTAAACGTGTTTCGGCAGTTTTTCAAAAGAAACTTCCAAAGAAATACAATGACCTGGGCGTGTTCACTGTACCTTGTAAGTTGGGAGGTACCACGTTTTCAAAGGTCATGCTAGATTTAGGAGCGTCAATTAATGTCATTCCTTACTCTTTGTATAAATCGCTTGAGTTTGGCCCTCGAAATGAAACCGGGGTAGTTATCCAACTTGCGGATCGGATAGATCGAATGCTTACCCTAAGGGTATTGTCTAAGATGTACTAGTTATGGTTGACAATTTGATCTTTCCCGCCGACTTTTATGTTTTAGAAATGGAAAATGATAAGAAAGAGGTTCCTATCCTTTTAGGAAGGCCATTTTTAAAGACCGCTAGAATAAATGATGTCTTTAGCGGATCTTTAACAATGGAATTTGATGGAAAAAAAAGTTGAATTCAACCTTTGTGACTGCATGAATACCCAAGTGAAAAGCATTCTCTATTTGCCATTGATATACTTGATCCTTTTGTGCAAAATACTTTTGAAATTTATGAAGAGGATGAATTGTTGAGCGTGATGGAGAATGTTTTGGGGGAAAATACTTTAGAACTTGTCTTGACCCCTAACATACAAGCTATGATGGTGGAATTGGATAACCACTTCCAACTTCAACTTATGCCACCGGGGTCAAGAGCACTTCCACTAACCATCCCCGAAGAAAAGCCATTCCCTTCAGTTTTGCAGGCACCCGAAGTGGAGATGAAACCACTCCCAAAACACTTGAAATATGTGTTCTTGGGAGAAAAAGAAACCTTGCCGGTCATCATTTCAAACAAATTGACCATAGGAAAAGAAGAGAGGTTGATTGCGGTGCTCAAGGAGCACAAACTAGCAATTGGATGGACTATAGCCGACATCAAAGGCATTAGTCCATCTACATGCATGCACCGTATCTTGATGGAAGATGAAGCTAAGCCGATGAGGCAACCACAAAGAAGATTGAACCCACCTATTATGGATGTGGACAAGAAGGAGGTCAACAAGTTACTTCAAATGGGGATAATCTTCCCCATTTCTGATAGCAAGTGGGTTAGTCCAACCCAAGTTGTTCCTAAGAAGACTGTAGTCACAGTGATCGAGAACAAGCATGGAGAACTTATGCCCACCCAAATTCAAAATGGATGGAGGGTATGTATAGATTACCGTCGACTCAACGCGGTAACTAGAAAGGATTTCTTTCCTTTACCCTTCGTTGACCAAATGTTTGAGAGACTTGCCGGACATAAGTTCTATTGCTTCCTTGATGGCTACTCCGGGTATTCTCAAGTAGCCATAGCCCCTGAAGATCAAGAGAAGACAACTTTCACTTGTCCGTTTGGCACCTTTGCATATTGACGCATGCCATTCGGACTTTGCAACGCCCCGACCACCTTCCAACGATGCATGATGGGCATATTCTCTGAATATGTTGAGTTATTTATGGAAGTTTTTATGGATGGTTTTACAATCAATGGAGACTCATTTGATTCTTGCTTATGCCATTTATGTCTTATTTTGAAAAGTTGCTTATATATATTTATAGCTTCATTTACCTGAGAGACCCGCAAGGCGAGAGAGGCGAATCTCTTCCTATAAAGCTCTCAACACCTTTCATCTGTCTATTTTGAGGGCACACTCGGTCCTAGTTAATCATCTATGTTATTCTTGGCTTGGGCTAAGTAGGTTTTAGCATCCCATAATCTGATTTCTTTTACGAACGTTGCGAACCTTTAAGATCATGATCGATAACACCTCAATGTGGATCGTACATGTGTCTATTTGGAGTGACCAAAGTATATCTAACATTAACAATGCATTGGTAAACAAGGTAATAATGGCAGTTGACTTGTTTATATCATCAATCTTCAGCATCTCATCTCTTCATCTTGTCAT